GAGGCAGGTAGATTTCATGAGTTCAAGACTACCCTGGTCTACATAGCAAGTTCCAGGCCATCCAGGATTACACAGTGAGATCCTGTGTCAAAAACCATGACAACAGCTGACCTGAACCAGCAAGGATAAGGGACTGAGTGTCAAATGGGAGGACTAAGATGAGAAATAAAGAAGACAAAGCAACGGCTGGGTCAGGAGGTCTCCCATAAGCGGCTGACTTATGGCAAGCAAGTTTATTGCTATTCACAGTGGGGAATAGGGCAAGCTCAGCAGGTAGCTGTTGGACAATGCTGGCAAAGAGAACACTGGGTACTTCCGGCATGGCTGTCTTAGGACTGATAGCCACAGCCGAAGGGAAAGAATCAGGTCCTCAGAAGATGCAGCCTTGACTTCTTTGAAGCCCTGCCTCCAGCCCTGGACCAGCCTTGCGAGGCTGGACAAGGACACAGAACTAAAGCTCCCTTTGTCCTTTCATCAGGGCCTCTGCGAAAGTCTCGGGTCAGTGTAGCTGCCCACAAGCAGCAACAACAATAATAAAAGCAAAGCAAACATAGTTTTATTAAGAAAAAGTGGGAGAGAACACCTAATAGTGGGAGGGGCTCCAAGGGAGGAATATTGGCTGATTGGTTTTTGTTGTTGTTTGATACAAGGTCTTACTATGTAGCCATGGCTGTCCTGGAACTTGCTACATAGACCAGGCTAGCCTAGAACTCACAGAGATCTGCCTGCCTCTTCCTTAGTCTCTCAAGTGCTGAGATTAAAGACATGAGCTACCATGCCCAGCTTAATTGACTTAAAAATTTATTTAATTATTTTAGATTGTGTGTGTGTCCATCTAGAAGAGGGCATTGGATCCTCTGGAGCTAGAATTATAAGTGGTTGCTGGGGCTGAAGAGATGACTCAGCAGTTAAGAGCACTAGCTGTTCTTCCAGAGGCCCTAAGTTCAAATCTCACCACCCACAAGGTGGCTCACAGTGTCTATAACTGTTGTCCCATGGGATCCAATATCCTCTTCGGGTATGCCAGTGTACATGCAGACAAAACACCCATATACATAAAATATATACATAAATAAACACTTGTTTAAAAAGTTGGGAGCCATCTGACGAGGATGCTGGAAACCAAACTTAGGCCCTCTTTCCTGCTGATCTGCCTCCACAGCCTGACATTATTTCGTGTGTGTGTGTTTGTGTGTGCCAGAGAGCACATGGAGGTCAGAGGACACCTTGTGGAAGCTCTTTCTCTCCTTCCTTTATGTGGGTTCTGGGTATTGAACAGGTTATCGAAAGCGACTTTATCTGATGAGTCATCTCAACAGCCCTGTTTTGGGATCGGTTCTCTTGTAGCTTAGGCTGGCCTTGAACTGAGTAAGTAGCCAAGGATGACCCTTACTCCTGATCTTCCTGATTCCTCTTCCCAAATTATAGGGTTGCAGGTGGGCATTACTGCCACAGGATGGTTTGGTCTGGTTTTTGAGGCAAGGTCTTACATAGCCCAGGCTGGTCTCATGTTTAGAGGCAGCAGGTTTAGGACACTGTGTTTAGAATCTTGTTGTGCTCAATAAATCTGGAGAGCAAAAATATTCTATAGCTCACAGCATCTCCAGGAAGACCAGAGAACCTTCTAGAAACAATGGACCAAAGGTCCTGGCCAGGCCGATGTGGAAGAGGCATGCTCGGTACAGACATAGTCTTTGCCAGCACTGACCATCTGACCACCTCTCTCAGCCCCAGCAACCTCTGGAGAGAGTCCATCTGTCACTATGCTGCCTTGGGGACATGCTTAAGGCCTGGCATGGGGCATCTTGCTGGCACAATGCTAGCACCTGTCTGTCTAGCAGGCTTGGAAGGTGTTTGACTTCTGTGAATTGAAGGAAACGTTCGTAGCATGGTTGCCACCCCCTAAAGATAACTGGCATACCCAGGAGCCCAATAGGTTGATTTCTGTTTCCCTCAGTCTTCCGGGAGCACAGACAACAGTGCCCTCAGAGGCTCCAGCTCTACACACTGCACTCCCTGAGACCCTAGGCCACAGCCTGCTCTCCTGTGTTCCTTCAGGTCCACAGAAGCCACCCTAGACCTTCCAGTTGCTGCCTTCCCTCTGCTGATACCAGGACCTAAACCCAACCTAGCCACTTCCTCCATTTTGGGGCAACTACAGCTTCAGCGACGGCGACCTGAGTTCATGTCAATAGCTAACTGAACCCCCGGAAAGCGCTGCCAGTGACAGATGTCTTCTGAGTTTTATTGTTTGCTTTGAGATTTAATCTCACATTGTAGCAGGGCAGGCAGGTCGGGAATTCTCCGTGATCCTCCTGCCTCAGCCTGGATTGCAGTCTTGAGCCACCTCTGCTCTGCGTGAACTCTTCTGCTAATGTTCCCGTCCACACGAAAGGAAATGAAGTTTAGAGAAGTTAACCTTCTCTTTGATGTCTCCGCCACTCCAGCCGCCCTTCAGGGGCTGAGTCTCTGTCATTCTGCCTCTGCAGGGGGGCCCTGTATTAACAAGCTAAGACCTATAGGAGACTCCAAAATGGCCTATGAAGCCATACCCAGATCTTCTACTGAGCAAGACTCCTCAGACTTGACTTCAGAGGAGATGACGCCATTATAGATCGTGTGAACCCTAGCTCTTGCCTGGGCATCTAATTCTTGTAGTCTTGGAGAGCATCTGGGGACCTAAGACTTTTTAAATAAGCCCTCCAGTGGCAGGGCAAGTGGAGGAACTGGCTTTGTGTTCCCTAAGGGTTAGCTGACTATCCTGGCCTAAATTATGGACTGCTCACATTGGATATCAGTAGATGAGACCTCAGAAATCTGAGGACTCCCTTTGCTCTGAAAACACCATGAAATGGATGCCCGGGAGCTGCCAGTGAGGACGTCAACCTTCAGAACAGGAGCCCTTGGAACCCCATCCAGGAATTCATCCAGAGGGACAGTCATGGTGTGCACAAAGTGATCCCAGTCAGAGAAAGAGGACATTCAACCCCCCCCCCCCCCCCGACCAGGCTGCCGAAGCAGGTCCCTTGCTCCCCTCCCCCTTCACCTCTGCTCCGCTGTGGAGAAGACACAGACTCTGTCCTCCTCCCTGTGGTCCTTCCCTGCTCCTCCCAGGCCCTGCAATTTGCCTATGCAAAGGCTTGAGCAGGAAAGAGTAGCTGAGATGAGGGTGGGAGAGTGGTACTGCTGGGAAACCCTATCAGTTCAGGTTGCTCTGGGGTGGTATCTAGAATGTTCCACTCATTCTGGCCTGTAGACTTTGTTCCCATAGTTGGTGATTCCAGACCTTGCTCTCCTCTTGCATAAGCAGGAGGCAATGAGAAAGATGGCTCCTTGTCTCTTGGTTCGAATAGGGAAGAGCGCTGAGCCCGGTAGTACCTAGTTTTAGGTGGGACTGATCCTACGTCTTCTCCATTCCCCCCACTTCCACCTGGGCTCCCTAATGAGTTACCCTAGTGACTTTTCGAGGCCTCTAAAAATTTTGTTCTTTGTTTGTTTATTGAGACGGGGTCTTTAAGTAGCTCAAGCTGGGCTTGAATGTGATAAGCAGCCGAGGATGGCCTTGAGTTCTATTTTCCTGCTGGAATCACAGGTGTGCACCACCACCACCACCTTTAGTTTTTATAGGGTGCGAGAGGATCGATGATAGGGCTCTGTGTGTGCTAGGCAAGTGCTCTGTCGACTGAGCTCCGCCCCAGCCCAGGAAACTTGACTGTTTCTCAGAGCCTCTACATTAAGGACTGAGTGGAGATTCCCCTCTTCTGGTCCTTGTGGCTGTCAGTGGGCATGGAGCATTTAGGGAGGCAATTAAGTGGGGTCGTAAGAGTAAGGCCCTGAGGCTGTGGTCTTGTGTCTTTATAAGAAGAAATAAGGCCCAGCTCAGCCTCCCTCTGTGCCCACAGGCTTGAGACCACACAAAGAGTAGTGGAATCCAAGCCCAGAACAGAGGCCACACCAGAAACCAAGCCCGATCTTGGCCTTCTGTCCTCGGGAACTGGGACGAAACGGAATCTCTGTTGTTTAAGCCTCTCGGTGTTGGCACTGCGGCTGCAGTAAGAGGTGACTCACAGGCTGAGCATCCTCCTTCGACAGTGACCGTGAAACTGGTGCTTGCATCAGGAAGCTGTTTTCAGAGTCCAGTGAGGAAATGGCACACGCAAGTCTTGCTCTTTTCTGGAGCCTCCGCGCCACCCGGAACAGCGACCAGTGTTACTAGATGTTTGATAAGTAGATTTGTGTTGTTGCCGTTTTGTTGGTTGGCTGCTCTTTTAGAGACAGGGTCTCTCAGTGTATCCCTGGTTGTCCTGGAACTCACTCTGTAGACCAGGCAAGATTCAAACTCACAGAGATCGGCCTGTCTCTGGCTCCTGAGTGCTGGGATTAAAGGTGTGCGCCACCACACCCAGCTTGGTAAATAGATGAGTGACAGACACCTCCGTTAGAGAATAAAGCAGTCACGTGAAATGTGAGAGGTTCTGGATTTTCCCTAACCTTTAACTTCTTCTTAAAGAAGAACACCCAGCAACAATGAAAACAAGATTAAGGACCAGGAAAAGTGACTGCCAGGGATCCGTCCATTCATGTAACCCGTACAGATCTGCAAAGGCGATTCTATCCGAGACCCAAACATGGGCCATCTTAGGTCTTTCTTCTAGCTCGGCAGAAAAGCTGGAGACTACAGCCATGAGAGGGAGAGCAGGGGGCCGTGGGAGTGTCCTGGACAAAGTCCATTTGGGGTGGGAGACCACAGGTAGAGGCGGACACCTTCCCAATACTTAGAATATGCAAATAACAGAAATAATAGGCTCTTGTACCCCAGGACATTTGTGGCAGCTCCTAGGCTCTGGAGAGGCAAAAGGGCTCAGCTCATCCACCTTGCCATGGTGAGACTTGGTCCCAGAGGAGCCTCAGGCACCTGTGACTGTTCAGACTCTAGAGATGCAGGACTCTGGGCACGGGGAGTCCCAGCTGTACTGACCACCCCCTCTGCTCCCTTCTAGGACAGGTTCAGTGGCGGCAGGGCCCGGTGAGTACGCCTTTCTCCTGCGTGTCCCCTTGTCTTCGCTTACTGCAAGTGTCTTCCTTCTCTGCGAGAGGCATCTCTTTCTGCCCCATCTGTGAGCTTCCCTAGGGCACCAGATGGGCACCAAAGGTCTCCAGTTCCACCCCTCCCTCCAGTCTCTTCTTTCCATTGCTCTGACCTCAGGTCCACCATGTCACACAGTGTCTGCAGGGAACATTCATAGTTATAGGTGCCAATAGTCTAGAGTGTGGTGTCACCCTGATACAACAAAGGGTCCCCTTGGACAGAGCTGAGTAGAGTCTGCTTACAGGTTGGGGCCACCACTGCCACCTGCCAGATGTGTAGGTAAGTAACACAGTGGGTCAAGGGACCCCAGCAGACCCGGGTCCCCCAAAGTTGGATCTCTCCGAGTGACTCTAGATAACCTGTCCCATCAATTTTCCAGCAAGGCTTAGCCCTCAAGCCTGATTCTCTTACCTTCCTTTGGTGTAGGGTCAAGAACTATCCATAGGTGGAACCCCTGCAGGGGTCCACATGTTTCAACACCCCTGTCTCATTGCTTCTGCTGCTAGGAATGCCCATTTTCATGGGTTCCTTTAGCTGTAGGGTAGTAGCCCATAGTTAAGGGCAGATGGTTTGTTATTTACCAGAGAGGGAGTAAAGCCTTGTACTAGAAGCGGGTGGCATGAAGCAAAACCAGTCTGTCTATCCAGACACCCCAGTCTATCTATCCAGATACCCCAGTCTGTCTATCCAGACACCCCAATCTATCTATCCAGACACCCCAGTCTGTCTATCCTGACACCCCAGTCTATCTATCCAGACACCCCAGTTTGGAGAAAAAATATACCGAGCCCATCTTTCCTGCCAGACTCAGAGACTTGGAGACACAGGGTAAGGCCAATTGCTGAAGACGGGAGCTGGCATAGAGAAGGGAAGCCTTGGCTCCTGGGACCTGTCATGTTCCATCCCCCATCTTCCCTGTGCCACCAGCATCCCTTCTTGAAGGCTCAGGAGGAGGTAGAAGAGGAGGATAAATATGAGCTTCCCCCCTGCGAGGTTGCGCCCCTCAGCCTGGCCCCTGCACAGTCTCTTGGCTCTAAAGAGGACTCCTTGTATCTGGGTGAGGATCGAGGAGGGAGAGGCTGGGAGGCTGGGTCAGGGCAAGAGGGCCCAACCATGGAGGAGTCCAGGAGAAACGAGCTCTCCTCCCTTGCCTGAGCTGGGGTAGGGAAGGAGCTAAACTGACTGCCACCGAATCCTCTTGATTGGGCAAACAAGGAAAGAAGGGAGGGAAAAAACTGGAAAGAGGGAGAATGGGAAGGAGGCAGGAGGGAGGAGGGAGGTAACCAAGGCAACACTGACAAAGCAGGAAGCCCGACCCAGTCCCTAGGGCCTTGCATTCCCCCCTCTAAATTCTCTGTGCAGCTTTCCAGTCAGGGTGGGAGAGCCCTGAGAAGCCACCACCACTGGCATCTCTCACCCCCTGGGCTCAGTCAGGTGGGGGCAGGGAAGCTGACTGTCTCCAGTTGCCATGGAGATGGGGCTGTCAGGAAGCCAATAAGTAGAGGGGACAGGAGGAGGGAGGGAGAGATGGGGGCTAGGTGGGAAGTGTTGAAAACTGAACAGACTAGGGAAGAACTCCCTCCCTCTCCTCAGTCCACAAAGCACAGAGTCTTTTCCAGATCGTCCTGGGCCTCTCGGTCCATCCAAATCATCGCCACCCCTGCCTCAGCCTACAGTGGTCAGAGGACTCCCCACAAATCCTTCCTTCCCTCCGCGCCCTGCCTCTGGCTACCATTTCCCGGTGAGTGACTCTTCCGGAGGTCTCTTAAGCAAGCCCCCCCATCCCCACTACACCTTTACACGGAGGTCTCCTAAGCAGCCCCCCATCCCCACTACACCTTTACACGGAGGTCTCCTAAGCAGCCCCCCCATCCCCACTACACCTTTACACGGAGGTCTCCTAAGCAGCCCCCCCATCCCCACTACACCTTTACAGTCTAAGAGCCCTGAGACGTCTGGTGCCCCGTGCGCAGAAGCCAGAGTCCAATAACCCTGATGAGCTCCTCCCCCTTGCCTAGAGGGTCCTTCTGTTCCTTCTGTATCTACCCACTGCTTGACAGGGCTCTCGCTCCTCTCCTCCTCTTGTCCATCCTTGCTGGGGCTGGATGGAAGCTCAGCTTGACCTCACCTAGGTTCTGGGCCCTAGGAGCTCTCTCTGGGCAGAGCGGTCAGCTGACCTCCCACCCAGCTCCCTTTCCCACTGTGATCTGGTTACCCATTTTGAAAGCTATCCCTTTGCTTTTGTATTTTATAGACTAAATATAAAGAAAACAAACACACAGGGAAAGTTCACAGTAAAGAAGGTGTTGTCCTTCTGCACCTCTCTTGTAATGTTTGGTATTTGTTTGTTTGTTCGGATGGGTTTTCTGGGGGAGAGGGGGCTATTGAAAGATGTTCTCCTGGAGCCCAGGCTGGCCTTGAACTCCTGCTCTTCCTGCATCGACTTCAGGCACGCTGACAGTCAGTGCTGGACTTGAAAGGAGCACACACATAGCCCTACCGCTCCCACTCCAGCCTCCTTGCTCCTCACTTACCCCCTCCCTCACTAACCCCATCGTTCCCACAGCTGAAGACGGCAATGAGCCTGCAGCCTGCAACCCCAAAGCAGGGACCTGGTTTTGGAAGGCGAGGTAAAGCGGTGTCCCCCCTCTTTCCCTGGCTGCACATTGGGAGGGAAGACTTCACCACCACAGGCTAGAGTTTTGGGTTTGCCTTGAACCGGGCTTGCTGCACACCTCCTAGCCAGGCATCCTTTTCGCTTGCCTAGCCCCTGAGGCAGTCGGTATAAGTATTGTTACCACCAGTGAACAGTGAGGAGTCAGTCCCAGAGACATGAACTGCCGTGCCCCAAGCAGTTCAAAAGCAGACCTGTGACCTCTGGATCAGGTGAGGGGTACCCTAGAATGAAGAGGTCAAATCTAAGGCCCTTCCCTGTCTATCCATGCCATGATTGCCTCCAGTGTCCAGAGACTTGCCAGTGACTCAGAGCCCTAGGATGTCAGAACGGGGATGGTCTGCTTGAACCATCCTACCTAAAACAGGTTTTAGGAGAGTTTGCTTTTTCCCGCCCAAGGTCAAACAGCTTACTTGAGGCACAGCCCCTCTTCTTAGTTGCTGAAAAACCTTCATGACCTTGAGGGGGGCTGTATTGTATTGTTTTGTTTCTCCCACCATGAAGTCATCTGGAGTAAAGTCTAGAAAATTCAGTGAGAGGTCAAGTTTGGTGATATTTCAGAGTTGCAAAGAAAGAGGATGAGCAAATGCAATGTGTTCTCCTGGGTCTCCAGAGCTGGCTCTGAGGGGCACTGAGACTAAGGGGGTCCAGGCTCCTCCTCGCCCGCCGATGTTCACGAGTGCTGATTCTCCCTTTTCCTTCCAGGGCGAGGTGCACCTGCTAGAGTGGTGAGCGGCTCCTTCTCTACCCCGTAGTCTAGGGACGTTTTCTAGAAAGCTGCTAGGCATGAATGGGCACCTGGGTAGCCTGGGGGGAAGGTCTGGTGCAGGGTCCTTCTCTCTCCCACACGGATAAGCCAGTGGTCCTGGGGGTGTCACCCAGAGCCTCTCCTCCACTCTCTGTGGGAACCCCTAAAAGAGGAGTCACTGAAGAGAGGCCCCTACTGTGTAGATAAGGAGGAGTGCGGTGCCTTGAGCTACCCCTCTCTAATCAGTGGCTTCTTTCATGTCCCCCTTGCCCACTAGCTGAGGCACAGCCTTCTTATTCCCTCTTTGTTTTTGGTTGTTATTGTTTTTGTGTGTGTTTTGTTTTTGTGGGGTTTTTTATTTGTTTTTGTTTTGTTTTGTTTTTTAAGACAGGGCTTCTCTGTGGAATAGTCCTGGAACTAGTTTTTGTAGACCAGGCTGGCCTTGAATTCACAGAGATCCACCTGTCTCTGTCTCCCGAGTACTGGGATTAAAGGTGTGCACCACCACCTCCTGGCCACCTTCTTATTCCTAAAAGGCACCACAAGTCTAGTGAAGCCCATGGTCCTATACCTTAGGTAACAGACCTTGAAGAGAAACACAATGAGGACATCTACCTGGAGTGTGAGCCAGAGCCACGTGAGCAAGCGCCTGCCCCCCGAAGCCCTCAGCTACCCATGAGCACACTCTCTCTTGACCCCATTTCTGTCCCCTCCAAACCCCACCTGGCTATCTTTATTTCTGCCTTTAGTCCAGGAGGACCCACACTGTCCCTGCCAAGGGCTGGGTGGAGCTTCTCATCTGATGGAGCTGAGCCACCAAGCTGCTATCTCCCTATGATTCAAAGGGCTCAGGAGAGTCCAGGGCAAAGGGAACAGAACTAGACCGCTAGACTGTCCTGAGTCACGTCTGGTCAGCCTAGACTTCCCTGCCTGGTCCCCAGCCAAACCTACCTGCCCTCTCTGTTTTAGTCCCAGCCTTGACTAGGACTCCAAGCTCCAAAGCCCTGATACCCCCAGTCCCTCTGCCAAGAACATCTGGATTGCCCAAGTAAGTGACAGCAGTGGGAAAACCCTGGGGCACTTAGTTTACTAAGAAAGGAAACCCCAGAGACCAGACATGGTAGCAAACACCTTTCTTTAGTCCCAGCATTTGGGCAGCAGAGGCAGGCAGATTTCTGTGAGTTCAAGGCCAATCTAGTTTACGTAGAGTTCTGGGTCAGCTGATGCTCCATAGTGAGACCCTGTCTCAAGAAGAATGTTTATTAAAAAGATTTATTTATTCATTATATATACAGTATCCTGTCTGCATGTCTGCCTGAAGGCCAGAAGAGGGTAGCAGACCTTATTACAGATGGTTGTGAGCCACCATATGGTTGCTGGGAATTGAACTCAGGACCTCTAGAAGAGAAGCCAGTGCTCTCAACCTCTAAGTCATCTCTCCAGCCCCTCAAAAATAATAAAAAGAAAAGAAAAGAAAAAGTCTGAGCTCTGCTTTCCAATTTATCCCGTGCAGGTCCATGGTTGCTCACCGGGAGTCTTGGAAGGTAAAAAAAAAATAGTGTTCAAGGAGGAAGTGAGCCGGAGGGTGGGAGGAGGCCCAGGGTGCAGCTTCTGGATGTGGGTAGTAGCTTGGAAGTCTAGTTCTCATCTGACCAGGCCTCCTGTGTCCCAGGGAACGGTGGATACCCCATTGAAAGGTGAGTATGTACACTTACAGCCTGAATGGGATGCTTCTGCTAGGGCTCCCACTCCCTCCCAGCCCTGCAGACAACAGAGCACCCCTAGGTTCCCAGGCCCCACTTCACCTCATCAAGGGGGTCCTTGCAGCTCTGATTTCTGCCATGGTCAGGCCTGAGAGGACTTTCTTGGGCATTTCCTAGGGTCGGCACTAAATCGGGAAGCTGCCAGTGTGTGTCCCAAGATCAGTTCTCATTTGGATGTCACGCAAGGACTGTCTGGTGGGTCCTCCAAGAGTTCTGAGCCTGGGAACAGACTGGCATGGCTGCTGCCATTTGCTGCTGCCCCTGCCCATGAAGTCTGCTTACCCAATCCCTTCCTGGCTCCAATTCTCTTTTCTGTTTCTCTCAGCAGGGCGGAGGCTGTCTGCTTCTTCTATAGTCCCTGCCCAGAGCACCTCTGCTGTAGAGGTGAGCAGAAGCTGGGGGCAGACGTGGGTGATCACTCCTGGCCTGAGGCCTGGACCACCACAAGGAACACACACTGAACACAGTGTCCAGCTCCCCCATGCTGCACTCCAGGCCCAGACACTACTTGGTTTTGCTCGCAGGCTCAGTCTGGGGCTGGCAGATGTAAACATGTACAACAGGGTTCTCTGCCCTCCATGCCCAACCGAGTGCCTGAACACATCTCTGAGTGACTCTGTGTATTATATAGGATGGGAGCCTCCGTGGTCAGCCTTGGTACTCAGGGAACTGTGACCGCCAAGCTGTGGAGAGAGCCCTGCTTCACTTCCAAAAGGTGGGCATCTGTGGACTCCTGGCCTTCTCTGAAATCCCTTCTATTCACTGCCCGTGGGCTGGTTAGGCTGGCAGCAGGAGGAGGGTCAGGGAGGCATGGAACATGATTGCTCAGCTGGGCTTAGGCAATCAGAAGGTGAAGTTCAGGGTGGGGTCTCCTCCACAGGACGGAGCCTATACTGTGCGTCTCAGCTCTGGGCCTCACGGTTTGCAGCCTTTCACTCTGGCAGTGCTCCTCAAAGGCCGGGTCTTCAACATTCCCATCCGGCAACTGGATGGTGGACACCACTACGCCCTGGGCCGGGAGGGCAGGAATCATGAGGAGGTGGGTGCTGGAGGAACCATGGGCCAAATCAGCAAGGTGGACCACAGTGCAGCACCCTGGGCCTGGCCAAGAGCATGTGTGTGTCTGGAGGAAACACAGTTTGCTTCTGGCCCCCACCCTGGGTTGAGCAGAAACGACAGAGGGCGGAGGAGGCCTCTGAGACAGTTCTGTCTATAAGCCTTGCAATATAAGGATCTGAGTTTGTCCCCCAGAACCCATGCAAAATCAATCAAGTGTGGTGGCTTGGGTTTATAATCTTGGTGCTGGGGAGGTGGAAATCCGGATCTTGGGCTCATTGGCCATCCAGCCTCCATAGTGAGCTCCTAGCCAGTGAGAGGCCTTGTCTCAAAAGCCAAGGTGGGGACTGGAGGGATGGTTCAGTGGTTAGGCGCACTTACTGGTCTGGACCCAAATTGAGCTCCCAGTACCCACATGGCAGCTTACAATTGTCCATAACCCCAGTTCTGAGAGATTCACTGCCCTCTTCCGGCCTCTGCATGCATGGGTGCTCACACGCAAAACATTCATACCCATGAAAACAGATTTAAAAAAAATCTAACAAAACAAGGTAACTGGGCATGGTGCTACACACCTTTAATCCTGGCACTTGGGAGGCAGAAGCAGATGGATCTCTTTAGATCCAGGCCAGCTAGAGCTACACAGTGAGATCCTGTGTGAAAACAAAATTAAACTGCATGGTGGCAGCGCACACTTTTAATCCCAGCACTCAGGAGGCAGAGGTAGGTGGTTTCTCTGTGAGTTTGAGGCCAGCCTGGTCTACAGAGCAAGTGCATCAGAAGACAGAGGCCAGAACATCTTCGCAGATATCTGGCACTGTGGAAAGAGACCCACCTTGTTCTGGGGGAAGTACTTCCTCCTGCCACGGGTTCAGTCTTCATAGGGTCAAGGTGAGGGCACATCTGGGAGGAGGGTAAAAATCTCCAAGGTTTTTCTCCCCAGCAACTGGTAGACTTTAGCCTATCAAAGCTACCCATTACTCAGATTCCCTTGAGAAAGACCAGGGCAGAGGCCTAGACCTAAAGCAATTGTCACCTAGTTCTGGAAACCCGAGCCTGGCCAGCATCAGAGCACGCCAGGGCAGTTGCAGGCTTGAAACCAGACAGCAAAATGGCATTGCAGTCTCATGGCACAGCGGGGAGAAAAATATCCAGAAAAAACTGTCGGCCAGCTCCCCCGCTAGGCCCCAAGGCTGCCTTAGAAAGTGGCTGGCAGAATAAAGCTCAAGAGACCCCCAGACGCCCCGCCTCCTCCTGCAGCTCTTCTCCTCCGTGGCGGCCATGGTTCAGCACTACACCAAGCACCCACTGCCCCTCGTGGACAGACACAGCGGTAGCCGGGGATTCACCTGCTTGCTCTTCCCCACCAAGCCCTGAGGAAACGGCGGTACACATCTCCACCCTTGGCATATGGTGTGCCCCTTCAGCCTCCCCTCCCGCTCTGGGCTGCTTTATTTCCCCTGGCAGCCCTCCACTCCAAAGTCCCCCCAGGTTCGAAGTGACAGGCCTTTGAGAAGGGCTGCCTGGGGAGGTTGCCTCTCCTTTAACCGCACTCTTGGGGGGATTAACACACTCTGGGAGGGGCTGCTTTACCAGCACATAGTATACTGTCAATAAACATTTCCTGATTGCATTCTTTTTTTAATACCTTTTTTCCCTCTCAATTACGAGTATTACAGTAGGTGTGCCTATGTGTGGGTACCTGCATGTGAGGGCCTGTGTCCTATGAGGCATCAGATACCCTGGAGCTGGAGATGGCGGGAAGGGGTGTGAGCCGCCAGATGTAGGTGCTGGGAAGAGCAGTTTGCGCTGTTAACTGTTGAGTTGGAAGAATTCTGGAAGGTGCTGAGAATCAGAGGTCTTCCCCAGAAGGCCTCGCAGTTCCTAAGAGTGATGTTGTCCTGTGGGTCTGCCTACTCCATGGGCTAGGCTGCAGAGGGACGGGATGCGTTTCTGCCAGGTTCAGGCTTTTGTCCGTCTAAAAGGAGGAGGCCCAGCCCAATAAACTGACATCTGTTTTTGCTTGCTGGTTTGTGTATGCTTGCTGGCTGTGGCCAAGGAAGGGAAGGAGACACAACCACCCCCTTAAGTGACGGAATGGAGACTGAGGATTTGTGTGACACCTAGTTACTCTACAGGGTTTCTGGAGGCAAGAGAAGGCGATGGCAAGCACTGGACGCTAGAATATAGGAGTGGGAAAAGCCCAGGAGACAGTCCCGGATGTAAAACCAGAGCAGCTGGGAGCCTGAAGAGTGGACGCTAGAGGCTCTGCGACCCAGAGCTGAGCTGCTTGGCAGGCCCTGGGCCCAGCAGGGATAAGGGGCTCTGGGTTGGGCTGGCAGCCAGCAACCCACAGACTGGCCCAGAGCGGGGGCGTCTCCGGGCCCTGGCATGGAGCCTGGAACACCCCGTGCCGGAAGCGCCACGTGACCATGACTCCGCAGAAGTCTCGAGCAGCGGGAAACAAAGGGCAGCTTAGCGGCCGCCTGGCTGGGGGAGGGGGTGGGGGTTGGCATGGCGGCCACGGCTCCCACTGGTGCCCACGCTGCACCCCAGTACCTCTGGACCGCCTCCCGGGGAACCTGGGGTGTGGCGGTTCAGGGAGGCTCGTGGGATGTCCGGGCGGAAGCCAGGACCTTGGGATCTGTAAATTCGAGGCGGGGGAGGGGGGCACGTGGGCTGCAGGAGCATTCACGGTCGCCTTCGTTCGTCATCACCCTCTGGCAGATTACCCTTCCTGAGCTGTAATACTTGGGAAGATAATTGTCCCTGCACCATCAACAGCCTCCGGTTAGGAGGCTTAAGTGAGGGCCTTCCACGTAAGAGATGCCTCATGGGCGGCACTCTGGCTCCCTTCTCTCAAACCAGCTCAGAATTCGGGTCAATTAACTGCTACTGACAAAGTCCTAGCAGGAGAGCAGCTTCAAGCTTGGGAGCCAGATCAAGGACGCACCTGTCCTAGTGCTACAGAATGGGGGTGGGGTGGGGGTTTCATCGTCCCCCGTGCCCTCCCTTCTGTCCCCCCAGCAGCAGCTGGGGCTTTGAGCTGGCTGAGGAAGCCAAAGGGTAGGAATTCTCAGCAGCCTGCCAGTTCTATTAGCCCAGCACTACTGACTCCTAGGCCACCGTGGGAATGATCTCTGTCTCTCTCTCTGTGTGTGTGTCTCTCTCTCTCCTTTCTCTTCTCCAACCACCTAGGGACTTCTTGGGGTGCGGGACATTGGCACCTTGGAATGGATTTAGGGGTGTCCCTATCTGCTTTGCAATTACACTCTCCTGGAGGAGCACCCTCTTCCAGGACACAAAACCTTTTTACTGGGATCCAAATCTCCCTACTCTGTAAACTGGTGGGGGGGGGGGGGGGGGGAGGGAGGGAGGGAGGAAGACACACGCGGCTAAGAGCTCTTGTGTTATTGGTCCCAGAGGAACTCTATGCTGGATTCAGCTGGGTATGGTGATGCACCCCCATAATCCCAGCCCTCAAGAGGTTGAGGCAGGAGCATAGACAGTTCTTGGCTAGCTTGGTTTATAGAGGGAGTTTCAGTCCAGTCTGAACTACACAGTGGAACTGTCTGAAACAAGCCCCTGAGTAGGAATGAAGCCGACTTCCATTCTTTGTTCCAGCAAGAATGGGGGACACAGTCCAGGTAGTAGGGGCCGTACATAATTAGAACCCCAGATGGCAGAAAGGAGCATAGGCCATTGAGGTGGTTCAGTGGGTGGGGTCACTTTCCCGCCAAGCTTGATGACGGTGGAACCCACAGGGTGGGAGGAGATAACCATCTTTGCCAAGTTAACCTCTGACCTCCACTTGTGTGCTGAGGCAACAACACTCCCCCTCCCACCAAACAAACCAAAAGTGAAAGGGAGAAGAGCTGGCCTAGCTGACAGATGTGTATCCAGATGTCCTTTTTCCAGGGACCCAACCTGCTCTGGCCTTCCCCACTTCCTCCTAGCCTTGGCCCCTACTACTTAGCAGGAGCCTTTTCCACCCCAGGACCAGCCTGTCATTCCTGCCAGTGCCCTGTAGTCAGGGCTCTGCATGCTGCCGGTGACAAGTGTTTGCTGAAAAAAACGAAGCCCATCCCAGTTCCTCTAAGATGACAATCTGGACTTCTTTTAAGATGACAGTCCAAGCCAACATTGTCTAATAAAAATCTATTTATTCTTTATTCAAGGAGAACAATTTTATTAGATTCGGGGGTTTTGTTTTGTTTAAGGCAGGGTTTCATGCTGCCCAGGTTGGCCTCAAATTTGCTGCGCAGCCAAGGATGACCTTGAACTCCTGATTCTTCTGCCTCTGCCTCTTGAGTGCTGAGATGACTGACGTGTCAGTGCGTTCCACTCTGGGGACTGAACACGGGGCTTCCTAAGTGTTAAGCACTCTCCCAGCTGGGCCACGTGACTAGTTAATAAATAGTTAACGCTTTTGAGTCATGTCAGTGTGCACAGCTGTGCATGGCAGGCCGCCATCCTATTTTTTAGGTCTTTGCCTTTCAAATGTGAAAAGATGGCAGGGCCATGTCTGGAGTGTGAGCACTGGAGGTGGGTAGGTACGGGGAGCCCTCCACTCTAGCTTCCTAGGGCAGTGATCCATGAGCTAGCATAGATGCAGACAGCTGGAGGCTGGAGGTTCTCTAAGTCTAGTGAGAGGGTTCCTTTGACTTCATACTGAATGGCCCTGTCAAGAACTCCAGCCATTTTTCCTCCAGTGAACAGGCCAGACTAGAAAATTCCATGCAGGGTCATCAACCGAGAGAACACGTCCTTGAGAAATGCTGCGCATGACAGATAAATACTTATCTGTCCCCAAGGACCTGAAGATGAGGGAAGCCCAGGGAGTGTGAAGTTGGGAAGGACATGAAAGCTACAGCCTAGACAAACCCCTGGGTTTCCCTGCAACCTGAGCTAACCATCCCAGGCTTGCAGCTGACTTTACTGTGGCGGATGCAGCCTGACTGGAGAGAGAAGCATGCACAGAAGAATCCCATTCACCTTCTGTGTAGCCCTCGCCACAGTCACCTCTCCCTTGCCCCCTCCCTCTTTGCTTGATCTAAAGATCAATTCTAGGGACTTGTACATACTAAACAGGCATTCTTTTTTAAAATTATTTATTTTATGTGCATTGGTGTTTTGCTTGCATGTATGTCTGTGTGAGGATATCAAATTTTGAAGTTACAGACAGTTGTGAGCTGCCATATGGGTGTTGGGAATTGAACCCAAGTCCTCTGCAAGAGCAGTCAGTGTTCTTAACCTCTGAGCTATCTCTCCAGCCCCCTAAACAGGCATTCTAACACACTAAAAAAAATTTTTTTTTTTTGGATTTTCGAGACAGGGTTTCTCCGTAGCTTTTGGTTCCTGTCCTGGAACTAGCTCTTGTAGACCAGGCTGGCCTCGAACTCCCAGAGATCCGCCTGCCTCTGCCTCCCGAGTGCTGGGATTAAAGGCATGTGCCACCACCGCCCGGCTGTTTGTTTGTTTTTGACAGGGTTTCTTTGTATACCCCTGGCTATCCTAGAATAATCCCCACTGTAGACCAGTCTGGCTTCGAATTTACAGAAATCCACCTGCTTCTGCCTCCCGAGTGCTAGGATTGAAAGTGTGCACACCACCACCACCCAGCTGAGATGAGTTCTTGTTATATCACCCAGGTTAGGTTTTAAATTTGCTGTTTTCCTGCCTGGTCCTCCCAAGCAGCGGAGATTTCCCAATTAGAGTCTAGATTACGTTGGGTTTGTTTATTTGCCATGCAGTGATAAGAAGATGGCATGGGATCTGGGGCCTGGGGCATGCTTAAGTAGCCCTGTCCCACTGAGCTGTACCCCAGCCCTCCTCATTTTAAAGCTGTGTGTGGTGACACGCCTATAATCACAGCACTTCAGAATCAGAGGCAGGGAAACCTCAGAGAGTTCAAGACAACCCTGGTCTACACAGTGAATTCCATAACAACCAGAGCTATGTAGTGAGACTATCTAAACAACATGGCAAACACAGACAGACACAACTCAAGCCTTGCCAGGACCTACTGATCTACTAGACCCTTCTCTGACCTGTATCTTGATGTCAAGAGAAAGAAGCTCTTTCCAAACCCAAGTTTGGGCTGCAAATGACCACAGTCCCCACCTTTCCCCACTGTGTAGCTCCAGCCTGTCTGCAGAAGTCAGAGAAGAGGAGAGTCTTGGAGATGTCAGGTTTTACTCTTAGGTACTCCTTCCCTAGCACCCCTCCAGACGTAAGCTATAGACTTCCACGATTGCAGACTTGCTTATTTATTGAAAAGAGAGCTTGCTGGGTGAATATACAGGATCTTGCAGGGAACTACATCCTTTCGAAGGATAAGGTGGGCAAGAAGAGAAAAAACTGGACCGTCTCAGGTAAGAAGACAGAATGCTGAGGATGGAACTGGGTCAGAGCCTGAGGGTTTCGTAGGCCCTCTATTTCCATCGGGTGAGTCCCCTAGGGGCACTGTTCTGAGGCTGATGGGAAAGGTTCAGGGCCCACGAAGAGCCTGCTTCCAGATCCATGGGCGATCTTGTTCTGCTTCAGGGAGGAAG